TATTTTTAATATAAATAAAAATTCATATTTAAATAAAATAAAGATTTATAAATCATTTATCAATTAATTTAAACATTGAAAACTTTTAAATTGTTCAGATATTTAATTAATTTTTATATAAATTTATTACAAAAATTACTATATATATTTGTGTACACACGCGCGCACACATACACACACACACACACACACACACACACACACACACACATATATATATATATATATATGTATATATATCGATTGGAGTATCCCAATCAAGTTGGAGTATCATCGGCAATATTTACAATACAATTTATAATAATTTATTTACAAAATTTTATCTAACCAAATTATATTAGAATATATAGAAATATAGCCTTCAGGATTGCCAATAACGATTTTTCAATGCCTCATAGTTTAATGATATACATTTTCAGCAATACTCATGATCCAATATTTCATTAAATAAATAATTAAAAAAATAGTTTAAACAGAAATAGAATGCATTAATTACCTATGACTTTTTTGCCTGCTATTTCTAGTAAATAATATGGCTTTTTATATAAGTATAGATATACTAAAATCCATTCCATTTATTCAAAAGTAGAAACTAAAGAATCTATACTTATATTAAAAGCTATACTATTTACTAAATGTAGTATGTAGAATAGTCAACTCTAATTAGTGATTTGCTATTTTTATCAAGCATTTAATTAATGCATCTAATATTTTTGGCATTTAATTAGTTCCTAAAATATTGGGTATGCAATATTAATTTAAGAATATCCATGTAGTTCCTAAAATGTTGGTATGCAATACGTAAAAGATAATTTTTTAATTTTTTAAATATAAAATATTGCAACACGTAAAACTATTCCAGTTATTTTTTATTTTATTTTATATATAAAATCAAATCAATATTTAATGCATCCTACAAAATTGGATGGAAATAAAAAAGTACGTAAAATCTTTACTAAAACAAAAAAAAGACTTTATTTATTATCTAATTTATTATCAAAAACTGTATGGAAATCTGTTCTGATTTTCTGGTACGTACTACAAATTGTGCACCCGTGTTCAGGAGCTACTTAACGGGCAAGCTCTGTGGAAATAACTCATTTAGTGCTTATGTCCCGTGCATACAATATGTATTTGTATTACACATACTAGAAAATTGTGCACCCCGTGCATCGCACGTACTCTGTACTAATAAATGACCTTAAAATTGTGCACTTCGTGCATCACCCGTGTTCATATTGTGGCCTATTACATGTCACGTACTATATATATCTCGTACATTTTTCTGTATTCATTTATATAATTATAAGACTTGATAAATGACTTTTGTGCACCCCTTGCATCGCACGGGATCTGTACTAGTTTGATATTTATTAGGAGTCACATTCCTTTTCCTCCAAAACTACACAATCTATTAATATATAATAAGGATTAACATAATTCACTTTTAGGAATACTTTCCCGCCAATTTCATTAATTATTGCCTAAAAATAGTAAATTAACAAAATCTTTATTTATTAGCATATCTTTTTTATCTAATTTTTTTTTTAGGAATATAATCAAAAATATGGAATCAAAATCAAAATAAATTTAAGAAATACACTTACCATACTTAATACACTTAATTTTAAGAAATACACTTACCATACGTATTTTTAAAAATTTTTAAAATACAATATTAAATATTTAATTAATAATTGTCAATTAAAGATTTTTTTAAGAATCAATCATATTCTAATAATTATTAGAAATAATTTATATATATATATACACATTAGTATTTACGTGAAAAAGTAACATATATGTTAACATATATGTTAATCTATTATTATATAATAAGGATTAATATAATTCACTTTTAGAAACACTTTCCTGCCAATTTCGTTAATTATTGCCTAAACATAGTAAATTAACAAAATCGCTATTTATTAGCATCTCTGTTTTTTCTGTTTTTTTTTTTTTTAAGGAATACAATAAAAAATATGGAATCTAAATCCCAATAAATATCCTCTTTTTGTGGCTGGATATAAATCTCCTCTTTTGAAGGTCGCATATACTGCGTTTATTAAGTAGTCTGCAAAAAAAAAAAAGATTAAACTAAAGTGGTTAGCAGATTCGTTGATTACATTTCAAAATGAGATTACCCTTTTACTTTTTGGTTAAATTTTTTTAATGATTTTCGAGAAGTAGATTGAATTTTTAATTAATTGCTTTTGGAAAAAATCTGATACCTAATTCTTTTTTTATATGTCATAGCGATTTTTGTTGTCAAAATTTGATTTACATGGTGTGCTATTCATATTATGATTTGAAAAATTTAATCTATTGTATAATGAAACAAAATAATTTCAAAAATTACATTTCCGATCGATGTTAAAAATGAAACTGTTAAAATAAAATAGATAATCACAAATCCATATTATCACAAGTCAATACATAATTAAATATAATTTCACATTCATAAACTATAATTAATATATATTTTACGGGTAGAAAATTACATGTGTAAATGGTGCTAGGGTAAAATATTCATATTTATTTACACATAAAATAATCTTTATATTTATTTGAGAAACGTTTAAGAAAAAAATATTTCACACGTATATATTTATAATCTTTACAAATATAATCTTTACTTCACGGTATATTTATAAATATTTACGTGTAATATTTACAAATATTACATTATAATTTACAAAATTATAAATTTTACATGGCAGATATAAATATTGTTAGCACAAATAATTAATAGTATAAGTCCTACTCTCATTAAATCGCCAGAGTTATATAATAATATTATATTATAATTTTTTTTCGTGATGTTAACAATCTGAAAATCAACAAATAATTAGAGAAATGAGGTGTTTATGCAATTAGCAATTAATATAAATATCGATCTACAGTTGTCAAGTGCAAAATAATTTGCATGGAAAAACAAGAAGGATTTTAACCATGTATAACTTTTTCATGATGAACATTTTTTTATTACCTGACCAATGCCCTACGATATTATAACTTATTGATTAATATTAGCCTTTAATTATAAATTTTACCAAAATAAATACAGCTCGTGCATCGCACAGGGTACGTACTAGTATGTATAAAGGACACAGTTACATGATCTGTTTTTATTAGGTATATGATCTGTTTTTAAAGGAAGTTCATAAATCATGAAGAAATATAATTACGTAAAACAATGACTATATGGTATTTATCTTTTTATTATCACAAACTTTATTGCTTTCGCAATAAAAACTTTGTTTATATGCAATTATTGTTATTCATTTGGAATAGTATTTAACACTAAATGAAGAAATAGCAATAACATGAAAAAGGAAAAGTAGTTTGTAATTAGAAAAAAAAAGAATTGGTGTCAGAAAATTACGTTTAAAGCGATATTGTATTTATATTTTAATTTTATAGTTGTATAGTAATAAGTAAAATATATATTATGTTTGTAGTTTAGTCACTGTACTGAAAATCGGCCAAGGAGGTTGCCTAAACGTTGCCCGGCTGCCTTTGATTTGCATAGATCGGTTGAAAAAATCGACCAAAAGGCTAAGTTGCTCCTACGCGGGCTTGCCGGGCACGGCGGCCACGCGGCTCGGCAGTGCTTATGCAGCCTTAGGCGGGCCCGGACGAGCTTAGTCGCTTTTAGGCGGTCTCCGCATCAAATTTTTTTTTAAATACTAATTAATTTATTTTGTTATCATGTTTTCATTATTATATATTAATATTTTTAGTTAGACTTAGGTGTGTGAATTTATTATAAGTTAAGAGGTACTTTTTTATTTGTATGGTGTGCACAACATAAATTATAACCACTGTGGAAAAATATGTTATCATTATTGTTTATTTATTTATTATTTCTCGTATTTTCATACATTAAATTTATAAGATGTTATAGCCTGGCCTTCTCTCATAATATTTTATTTTCTCTCCCTTCATATAATTAAGTTTGCAGAAAGAGAACAATTTAGTGAAATATATGAAATTAAGCCTCATTAGTGTATTCGTTTTACTGTGCACAGACCAAAGTTATCTCACCCCCTCAGCCGAGATCAATTAATCTCCGTTTTCCACGATTTTAACACTGTTCATTGCGGGCCTTGTCCTATCTTGCGGGCCGGAATCATGGTATATAAACATGAGTTTAGGGTAGATTGGAGGCGTTATCCTATCCAATCTAGGCTAACAAACGTGCTCTAAATAAATGACCGAAATCGAGCAATAATCGTTTGATTTTATTTTGGCTCATTTTGTCAGACTTGTTTGTAGCTCTAATTCTCAAACCAATCCTACTGAGGAAAAAAAGAATGGATTCATAAGAGCGATGTTCAATGAAAATTGTGTTGTATGACATGGAAAAATGAATTAAAAAATTGCATTTTCAGTCGTTAGTGTTAATTGTGTTATCATTTGTGATGTGTAAAATTGTAACTGGCTGAAGAAAAGAGATAAATTAAATAAATAATATAGTATATAATAGAAGTTGTTTATAAGTACTTCTAAAACTAGAAAGCCTTTCAGACATTTTCTATGCCACATAAATTTTTTTGTGTCATGTTGCAACAAAATAAAGCAATAGAAAACCCATTGAAAATGCTTTAAGAACTAACGTCTAACGTACTCCCACGTCGGGTTCCAGTTCTTGTGGATGCAGAAAATCATTGTTGGGAGACTCACCGACCACTGTCAGGTGTGACACCAGGATCGACAACGAATTAGTCAGGGTATAGCTACGAATACCGTGGCTGGCTAAGAAAAAAAAAAAAAATGGCACCTTTTTGTTTGGCTAATGCCATCTCACCAACCAACTAAGTAAACGATTGTTGTATATCTTTTTGACTCGTTCCAATATATTTCGCTTGCATGCTCTATATAAACCCCTAAACTCCATTCATCCCTACAACACCAACAAAATCCATCAACTTACCATACATTGAATACCTCTCTTCCACCAATTAATCAATTCATTTGCATATTACGTACAAAAAGAAATGGCCAGAAAATTTGCATTGGCTCTTGTTCTTTTCGCAACCATTTCAACTTTTGCCTTAGCCACGGCTAACAACAACTGCACCACCGGTGGCTCGGCTAACTTCAACGGCACAGCTGCTGGCGGTTTTTGGGCCTACAATTGGCCCAAAAATACCACAGTGGTGGGCTCGAGAAAATTCATTGTGGGCGGATCTGAAAATTGGCATTTCGGGTTTAATTACTCCAATTGGGCTATTTCGAGCAGGCCCTTTTACATGAACGACTCTCTGGGTATGTAATTAAATAATCAATCTTGCAAATCATATAAAATCATACATATATATGTTTCTTACATATACACACACATGCACGCACAACCCAAGTTTATATGTCATGATAATCGGTTTAATATCTTATAATATATGTTTTAGTTCACATAATTAGTAACATATTTGTTATAAACTAATTGGAAGGTGTAACTTAATCATAATTTTATTTGATGAATTATGTAAAAATTTACGATATGCAGTGTTCAAATACGACGCGCCAAACGCGACCACATTTCCGCACAGCGTGTACTTGCTACCGAATCTAAAGAGCTACCAAAACTGCGACCTCAAAAGGGCAAAGAGAATCGCGGATGCCAACGCGGGAGTTGGGGAGGGGTTCGAATTCGTGCTGAAAAGATGGCAGCCATACTATTTCGCGTGTGGAGAAAGAGAAGGCTTCCACTGCAGAGTCGGCAATATGAAGTTTGCAGTCGTGCCTTTGTTCCGTTGGTATAACTGATCGTTTCAACAAATCAACAAAAGGGCGAGTTCATCTATGTTCTTAGCCAACTGTTGTAAGGTTTTATTTATCATATGCCAATTGGTATATTATACGAGTCTTGTTTTGAGTGTGTTCGGTTTTTACACGAATAATCAGAGTGCTTGTATTGTGTTTTTTTTTTAAAAAAAAAATAAATTATTTTCTAAATGCTTTGCGCGTAGCAAATGCACAAGTTTAGTAACACTATTATGTACTCGGGAGTCCAATAAGTATGTACTTTGATTACTAATTCATTCGCTTAATTTATTGCATATTGTGATTGTACTTGCTCGATTCTCACTTTGCCTGTCTTTCGCCTAATTTATCAAATAATAATATCGCACTTGCTTGATTAACTTTGCCTTCGGTCACATAGTTTATCAATAAGTAATTCGCACTAGCTCAATTAACTTTGCATGTTTGTTGCATACTCTATCGCATAATATTATCGCAACTTATTATGTTGCATACTCTATCGCATAATATTATCGCAATTTATCAATTAAATTTATATGTCTATCGCATAGGATTTTCCATAATCATTTGACACTTTATCAATTATCTTCGCCTCCATGTCACATAGTTCATCGCATATTAAGGTCTCACTTGTTGGATGATCTTCGCTTGACTGTCGCATAGTTCATCGCATAAGAATTTGCACATCATCAATTATTTTTACATGTCTGTCGCATAACTAATAGCATTCATCTTTCACATTTTATCAATTATTTTTGTATGTCTGTCGCATAGCTTATCGAATAATATATTCGCACTTTATCAACTTTTTCGTTTGTACTAAACCGAAAAAAAGGGCGTCATAAAAAATGGTCCACTAAGTTGCCACTTTAATCAAAATTCATACAAAAACCAACATATTGTACTAAAAGTGATTGCTATATATTTTTAGTACATTATGTTGACTATTGTACGAGTTATAATGAAAATTGATAATTTAGTGGATCATTCTTGATGACACTCAATATGATTGACCTTTTTCAAAAAAATACAAATATAGTGTACTAAAAATGAAATTTAGCACTCAAAAATACACGATTTACGGGATTGGATCTAAGCCTTGGATATCTCACGGATCTTTTGTTTTATTCCTAAGCCTTTGATATATCTTTGATATAGACACATATCAAATAAATACCATACTTAATATAAATGACCATTTTTATGTTGAGATTAAGAAGACGGGCATCCATCAACATTGTTTTTTTAAATCTAATTTGATTTATAAATATGTAATGTCTATATATAATTTAACATTCTTTAATCTAACACACAAGTAGGACTGGTGGGGTGGTAGAAATGCTCATTTTCTCCCACGAGGTTCTAGGTTTGAACCCAATTGCAGTAGTAATGCGCTACTTTATAATACAGTGGGGTTTGGTGCAATTTACACCTAAAATCTATTAATATATAATAAGAATTAACATAATTCACTTTTAGAAATATTTTCCCGCTAATTTCATTAATTATTACTTAAAAATAGTAAATTAACAAAATCTCTATTTATTAGCATATCTTTTTTATCCAATTTTTTTAGGAATACAATAAAAAATATGGAATCAAAATCAAAATAAATCTAAGAAATACACTTACCATACTTAATACACTTAATTTAACAAATACACTTACCATACGTATTTTTAAAATTTTTTAAAATACAATATAAAACATTTAATTAATAATTGTCAATTAAAGATTCTTTTTAAGAATCAATCACATTTCTAATAATTGTTAGATATAATTTATATATATATGGTTGGGTTCACATGAGAATAGTTCTCAATGAAATAAACGAGAATACATGATGACCATTAGATCAAATAATCCAAGGAATGAAAAAAAGTCAATATTTTACATTCATTAAGGGTATTGTAGACATTTTACACATTCTATCCCACAAACCTAATCTTTTCAGTGGGCCCCACATCCTAATTCCACAAACCCATCACCATTGCTCTCTCTTTCTCTCCCCCTGTTGCACTCTCTCTCTCTCTCGCAGGCGTAATCTCTCCCCACCGCCGGCGCCCATCTCCGGTGAATCCGACCCGTCCGTTAGCATCCCAGCGATCGGCGCGCATCACCAACACCGGCTAACATCATCCCCCGTCTAGTCGTCACCTCTGATAAACCGACGGCCTTCCGTCCGCGACCTCGCCACCGCCCACCGCCGTTCTCGACGGTGCTGCCGCCGCCATCTGGCATGTTCTTCTCCACCACGACGGAAGATCCAGACGACCAATTTCTGCCGAGAAACATGAACCCATGGTCCTCCCAGCCAAAATCGGCCATTGATGCGAGAGCTCGAAATTCACGAGCACCATCTCGATTCTCAATGTCGGACGTTCTGGCACAAAAACGAGTTATCCGGTACCTTAAGGAACTCCTCGTGGTCAGGAATTCAGAAGACGACATATAAGGTGGTCGGACGCGAAAGTCTCGTTCAGCTCATCCGGCCATGGCGGACGTCGTGTGTTTCCGGTGGTTCGACAGCCAGAACGGCGGCTGAACATGGTGGATCTGGTCGGCGACTCTCCGGTGGTCGGCACGGCGGTGACGGGAGGGTGGTCTGAAGGTTCCATTGGTTTTTTATGCTAGGGGCTTAATTTTGGAAATTAGATACATCCAAGGGACCTATATGCAATTTCTTTAGTTTTAATTATATTTCAATTCAACCCATAGTCATATTTGTAATTATTGAAAATTAATAGAAAACTATTTCTCATACATATTGTTATGGATACATTAAATAATAAATAAAATATAAAATATAAAAATAATATAAAAATAATTTAAAATAACAAATAAATTATATGATAAAAATAATACATAAAAATATTTTAGTTATTTAGCTTAATTCCATGTACATTTATATATATCAAAACTAGTTTTCGATTACATATAATTTATATAGAAAAGTATAAATTATCGCACTTTATATAACATAGTCTTGCACTTTATAAATCAACATGTTGCACCTATAAAATAACATGTTTTAAATAATCGATCGGACTATATGTTATCGTACTTTATATAGCAAAATCTTGCACTTTATAAAATAACACGTTGCCCCTTATAAAACAACATGTTTTAAATAAGAAAAAGATATTCTATTTTATGTTTTATTTATATATATATTATTTAATTTCTTCGAACAATAATATAAACTATTAACTAAAAAATTACTAATACGAAATATTTTTTTTATAAAAACAAAAAAAAAAAAAAAAAAATTGCACTTTGAATATGTATTAGTGTTAGACTGGTTGCATGTTAATGTCTTGAATATTGCACTTCAACGTTAGACGGATTGCACATTAGTGATTTCCAGATTGCACAATACCGACTGAGCCCGACTAACTTGGTTTTTTTTTTTTGTATTTGAATTTTATGTCGGATTGATTATATATCTTTACCTTTAAAATTTTAGTTATTTCAATTTGATATAATTTTTTATTTTTTATTTTTTAAATAACCAAAATAACCGGATCGACCAAACCATAATAAACAAATACTCTTTTTTTATAAATATTTCTTTTTTATAAAACTGTTATTCTTACAATTAAAATAAATAAAATGTTAGATAAAAATATTAATGAGCAATTTACATAATATTAACGTGCAATCTAACGGTCGTTAACGTGCAATTTACAAAACAATAGTGTGCAAGTATTTAAGTTTTTATAAATTATAAATTTAACCAATGTATTGAATTGTAATAAGTTAACAGTGGGGCGGTTTTCTAGCCATTTTTTGAAGTAAAAAATGAAATATGGCCACTTTTTGTAAAAAAAATGAAATTTAGCCATTTTGGCACTTAAAAGTACAATTATACCCTTACTTATTATTTACCTACCAAAGATATTAAAATAAAAAACAAATAAAAAAAAAATCTGAAAAAGTGGAAAAAAATCACGCTTTTTCCTCTCTTCCTCCTCCCTTCTTTCTCTCTTCCTTCTCTCCTCTTCTTTCTGTTCGCGTCGCGTCCTCTGTAAAAAAAAAAAAAAAAAAAA